ATCTTTAGCAATGACACATCAGACAAAGGCCTTATTACTAAAATCTACAATACTCTGCTAGCTTCCAAAAAGAAAATTGTTAATTTCCCAATGAGGAGGTGGGCAAAGGACCTGAACAGAAGTTTCACAGGGGCAGAAATCTGGATGTCCAACAAACATATGAGAAAATGTTCCCGATCTTTAGCCATAGGAGAAATGCAAATTAAAACATTTAATGAGGTACCACATAACACCCTCAAAGATAGCCCAATTCAAAAACTCAGAAAGCAACAAGTGTTAAAGGAGCTGTGGGGAGACAGGAACTCTCATCCATGGCTGGTGGACCTGTATGTACAGCCACTACGGAAATAGATCTGGCGATTTCTAAAACAGATGGAAATCGAGCTACCATATGACCCAGCAATCCCCCTACTGGGAATATACCCAGAAGAGGCAAAAAACAAACCACGGCCATACATCTGTACTCCAGTGTTCATTGCGGCACAGTTCACAATTGCAAGGAGTTGGAAACAACCCAAATTTCCATCAACTGACAATTGGATTAAAAAGCTATAGTACATACATACAATGGAGTACTACACATCGCTAAAAAGCAGTGGTGAACGTATGAAGCACATCACCGCATGGGAAGAACTGGAGGAAATCATGCTAAGTGAATTAAGCCAAGCACAAAACAACAAGTACAACATGAGTCCGCTGAGGTAAGCTTTAAAAAAATAAATGAAAAAGGGGCATAGGGAAAAAGCTACTGTATACACACATTCCTGGAATGAGGACCAGGTAATATGGCAGGGACCAGACCAAATAAAGGGATACACATAGTAGACAACTAAAAAGGAGATGGGGAAAGGAAAAAAATAATAATAAAAAAGAAATGGGTAGCGTGACACAGGGCACTAACCTGCCCAAGGGGACAGAGTTGTTTATATCTCCACAGGGAAAGAGGGACCAGACTTCAATCCAGTGCTACAAGATGTGAATGCAACATGCCTGCGTGGAGTAGGGAACAAGTGGAGAAGTCTGGGGGGCTGGCCCCAATCCCAACTACTAAGTGGATACCTGCCCCTCCCCCAGAATAATTTATTTCAAAGGACAGCATTGAATCTGCAGCTCTGGGAGAGGGACATATCTGATCAGAGCACACGGGAGCAGATGAAGGGGGAGGAGGAGAGAGTGGAGCACATCCTGGCCCACCAGGCCGTGAGGACGATGTTCCCAATTAGAGC